TCTCTCTCTCTCTCTCTCTCTCTCTCTCTCTCTAAGATCACTGCTACTACTACGAGTTCCTCTCTCTCTCTCCACCCAAATATGTGTGCGTCTCTATCTTGTTTTGAGCTAAGTGTACTATATGCTTTTGTACATAAAATTCATTACTCGGTAATCAGGCATTAGTGTTATAATATTCTACCAAAGATGTCTTCTTTTGTTGTTCTCTCTCTCTCTCTCTCTCTCTCCTGTTTTTCCTTCTGTTTCCAATGAATCTGATCAGGATTCCCCTTCCATGTTTTATGTGAGAGAAGAGATGGCGACTATAGGAGAAAAGGAGTGGTATTTCTATTGCCCAAGAGACAGAAAATACAGGAACAGTGCTAGACCAAACAGAGTAACAGGAGCTGGGTTCTGGAAAGCCACAGGAACAGATAGACCTATCTATTCATCAGAAGGATCAAAGTGTATTGGTCTCAAGAAATCGCTGGTTTTCTATAAGGGGAGAGCTGCGAAAGGAATTAAGACTGACTGGATGATGCATGAATTCAGGCTCCCCTCTCTCACTGATTCAAACTCTCCAAAGAAGCCCCTTGACAAGAACCTGCCTGCAAATGTAAGAAGCTATAGAGTAACTATAGTACTTCTCTCTCTCTCTCTCTCTCTCTCTCTCTCTTTCTCACTACTGATTTAACAATAACTCCCTCTTTCTCTCTGCTGGTTTAAAAATTGTACTGGTGTGTGTGATTTATGGAGTAAACTACTCACTCTCCCTTAGAATTGGAGTTAACTTCTCTTCCTCTTGTACTCCTGATTTAAAAGACTAAATCTCCCTCTCTCACTCTGCTCCTTTAGGATGGAACTGCTCTCTTACATCCGGCTGACTAAGACTCTCTCTCTCTCATTTAAGGCAATCATGCTTTTTTCTACTTATTTTTCCCTGTTTAAATTGTGCAGGATTCATGGGCAATATGCAGGATCTTCAAGAAAACCAACTCCATGACACAAAGAGCACTTTCTCAATCATGGGTCTCTCCATTACCAGAAACCAACAATCAAGACATATTCTCAAATAATATAAGCTACACTAATTTCTCTTCTGAGAACATCTCTTGTACCAGTGAAGCTGGACCAGGCACACAGTTCTACAGTGAGATACTGCATGCTTCAAACCCTGATTTCTCTCACTTAAACTTAGCCTCTTACAAACCCATCAACTCCACATTGAGCAAACCATTTCCATTAACCCAAACGTCAGCTCCTGAGTTTGCTTTCTCTCCTCTTGATATGTTAGGACCTGCAAAATCCACCATGGATATAGCCTCCATGCTCCTCAATCTCTCTCCTCAAATTCTTGGTGATGGTGGAAAAGCCTCTGCAAATGTCGAGTTTGGGCAGCAACTGCAGAACCAGAGTAGCAGTTTCGGTGTGAATTTACAGCCTCAGATGAATGAAAACTCGCAAAATGGAGAAGGGGAAGCTTGTTTGACTAAGAGAGAAAATAACAGTCGTGATGTCAGTGGTAATCAATGGTGCAATGCTAGAGCAGGCGGTTTTCCCTTGAATTTGCCATCGGCTCTATTCGATGCCTGGAAACCAAATTGGTCATGGGATTGTTCATCCTGCCCTAGTGAGATGTCCACAAACTATTCCACGAGTAAGAGTTATACATGATGAGAGAGAGAAGAATAAAGTAATTTGTTACAAGAGTGAAGAAAGAAATGTTTAGGGACAGTTAGCTCATATTGTTGTTATAAATACAGCAAAGAAGGTCAAGTTTTTATTGTGCATCAGACCAAAGCTTTCCGAGGCCTGTGAATATCAGAAAGGCCCCATAATAGTATCATGGATTTTTTGTGTATCTTTAAGCAGCCCCCTTCTCTCTAGGCCACTCAAGATTATAAATACTATGTTTTGCTTAATTTTGTCTCTTTGTTCTTCCATTTTCAAAATCGGACTCGTCCTTCACATCCATCTTTCTCATTAAGCTTCTGATGTCTCTAACTTCTTCCCATCCATCAGCCCCTGCATAGTTAAGAGTGAAAAACACAAGCTCCAGAAACCCGAAGAGACAGTGAACACCATCCATCCAGGCTTTTGCTTACTGACATGGTCTCACCGACCAATTTGTTTTTGTATCATGAATTCTCTCACATAGAACTCCATCCAGGCTCTTTGTTCACACCCATCTCTCTCATCAAGCTCCTAATTTCTCTAACTTCTTCCCAACAACCAGCTTCTGCATAGATATTGGAGAGACAAACATAAGCTCCAGAATCCCGTGGCTCAAGCTCCAAAAGTTTTTGAGCTGCAAGCTTCCCCAACTCCTCATGGCCATGAACCCTGCAACCACCAAGCAATGCACCCCAAATCAAAGCATCGGGCTCAATAGGCATTGATTCTATAAACCTCCATGCTTCTTCAAGCTTACCAGATCGACCAAGCAAATCTACAATGCAAGCATAGTGTTGGGTTCCTGGTTTGAGGCCATAATCTCTCACCATTGAATTCAAATAGCTAAAACCTTTTTCAACTAACCCATTATGGCTACAAGCTGTGAGAACCCCAACAAAAGTCACAGAGTCTGGTTCAACACCTTCTCTCTTCATCTTTTCAAACAATTTCAAAGCCTCATTTGCTTGGCCATGCTGAGCATAAGCAACAATTATTGCAGTCCAAGAAATCAAACAGGGCTGCATTATAGAGTCGAAAACTATTGAAGAGTCATATAAGCTCCCACATTTCGAGTACATTGTTATGAGAGAGCTGCTCACTGAGTGATCGAGGTCCAACCCTGATTTCACAGAAAGAGCATGGATCTCTATACCCAGTTCCAACTTCACAGAGGAGCCGGATAGGCGGAGAATCGATGAAATTGTGAACCCATCCATGTCCAAATCGGAGATCCTCATATCTCTAAATTGTGCCATCACCTCCATGGCCATATCATTCTGAGCATAACCTGAAATTAGTGATGACCATGCTACTAAATCTCTTTCATGCATTGAATCAAAAGCTCTTTGGGCTAAAACTAGAGCACCACACTTTGAATATAAGGTAACCAGAGCACCCCCAAAAAGGGTTTCAGACCCCACTCCAGAAACTATTGCATAGCCATGAACTTCTTTCCCTCTCTTCATGGACTTGCAGGCCGTACAAGCACTGAGAACAGCTGCTAAAGTCACCTGGTCAGGCTTCAATTCAGCCATTAACATGTCTTGAAACACTTGAAATGCATTCATCGGCTGGCCATATTCAGAAAACCCTGCAATCATAGAGGTCCATGACACCGCATCTTTTTTTGGAATCAGCGCGAAAACTTTATAAGAATCGTCTAAGCACCCGCACTTGGAATACATGGTGAAAATAGCACTACCAACTGAAATGTCCATGTCAAGTCCAGCCTTTATGGCAAAGCAATGGATTTGCTTCCCCATATCTAGAAGACCAATAATGCTCAAAACACTAGAGCATGCGAAGCACTCTGGTTTCAGGCCTTCATTTAGCATTCTTTGAAACAGTTTGATCGATTTCCCGCCCATATGATTCTGAGCATAACAAGTCATCATGGAGGCCCAAGAAACAGAGTTCTTCTCTCCACCCATTCCCTCAAACACCCTCTCTGCAAAATCGATGGACCCACATTTTGAATAAGTGTTTATCAGAGCATTTTGAACTGCACAATCCTCAAAAAACCCAGTTTTTACAGTCAAACAATGGACTTGGGATGCCTCTTTAAACCAAGCAACTTGAGCACAGGCACATAATACACTTGTTATAGTGAATTGATTGAAATCCACCCCAGTTTTTCTTTTATCTATGAAAAACCGAAGGGCCGAGACAGGGTGATCAGATTGGACAAAACCCGATATAATTGCAGTGCAACAAACCTCATTCTGATCTGGAATTCTCTCGAAAGCCTTAACTGCATCCTCCATTTTTCCACATTTCGAATACATATCAACAAGAGCAGTGCCCACAAAAACATCACCCTCTACGCCAGACTTAACCACCCATCCATGAATCCCTTGACCAAAAACCAGAGCCTTCAAACCAGAGCAAGCACCCAAAACACTGGATAGCGTAAACGAGCTTGGTGCAGAAAACCCATCTAACATTCGAAGGAAAAGTTCCAATGCCAGCTTGTAATCCGCATTTCTAACTCCCCCAGCTATAGTGGTGTTCCAGGAAATGACATTTTCTCGATTAGCTCCATTAAAAACTCTCAAAGCTTCATTAAAACAATGGCATTTTGAAAAGAGACCAATCATCCCAGTACAAACATAATCATCTGAAGAAAACCCAGTTTTTATTGCATGAGAATAGGCTTGAAGGCCTGGTTTTACAGCTTGAGAAGCTGCACAAGCTGAAAGTAAGCTGCCATAGATGAACTGGTTGGGCTTGAATCCAAGTCCAACCATTTGATAGAAAGGTCGCCATGAATCTTCGAGTCCAGAGCTCTTGCAAAATGGTGAAATTTTCGAGGAAACGAAATTTCGGCTCGAAATTTCATCGAACAAATGGGGTGCAATGACTTTGAACCCTTTGTTTAGAGGGGAATTCAGCATCATAATCGCATCAAATTAATAATCACATCAAATTAACTTCGTTGCATCGACATTTATATTTAGAGTGACAATTTCCTTTTTCATCTGCTCAGTCCTCAAACTTCTAATAGCTATGTTTTTTCCTTCAAGCCCAAAAATGTTTATTTTCTTTTCCCTCGATGCCGTCTATCATGCTTATAATGTTTTGGCAAAGGGAAATATCTTTTGTACTTGGTGAAGAGGAAGGGAAACCTTTTCTTCTACCTCTACTCTTCACACACATAGAGCTTATATAAATATCTAGAGGCTCATAGTTGATCGATCTTGATTTAATATTTTGAAAATCAATTAAAAATAATATTCATCACATAAAAATTAATGTTTTATTGTTACCATGCTCCATGACCTCTCGACGATATGATATAGTTGGATGTCTCTTTACATGTCCTATGTGTGTAGAGGTGTATGTAAGGTATCTACACCTCAAAAACTATTGAAAATTGTTGTTTCGATGTTGAACAACCTTCCAATTGATCATGTCAACTTCTTGATTTATTGGATATAAAAAGAATTGATTTCAAGTCCTAAAGTAGAGTATTATGTAACCACCCATTTTAGGATTTTCAAGTGTTCATAAATCTATGCTATCTATACTTTTTTTTTTTAAGCTTTAACTCATCCTTAAGATCAATTTTGGGAGATTTGACTTACCAGACCAGGGTTGGCAATAGGGCTGCATGGTTGGCCATTGGGTATGGTCGACAAGCAAGTGGACCCGATTTAGTTTTGGCTCTGGGTCGGAATATTAGACCAGATCAAGTCCAGGTCCTAATCTAGCGGTCTAGCCTGATCCTATGGGACCAAGTACATATATGTACAATGCAAATAAATTATATAATTTTAAATACAAAATTATATGTGTAATATTTTTTTCTAATTTATATCTTGAATCGGACCCGACTCAACCCATTGGGTAAGTTCTGGTCCAATGCCTTGGACCCAAGCAAGCCGTAGCCCAAACTTAGTTGAGTTGGGGTTGACCTGGATCGACCCTTTAATGTAGAGACTGGATGCGGACAAAATTATCAAAATAAATTTGTCGAATTTTAACCTCTTTTTCAGAAAACCAGAAGAAAGTCATCACTGTGGTATCGTTGTAAAAGGTTTCGATGGTTGAAGTGAAGAAACTTAATAAAAGATATTGACAAGTATAAATTACGATTGTCTTAATGCCAACAAAGTCAAGATGGCCGAGTTGGTCTAAGGCGCCAGTTTCAGGTACTGGTCCGAAAGGGCATGGGTTCGAATCCCATTCTTGACAATGAAAGTGTTGTGGCATTATTTTTAATATGATATGCAAGATAAAATTTTGTTTTCAATGCAAAACTTGATTTGCCGAATTCCACTCGGGAAATGGTTTAATTTATATGTGAAAATATGCAAGATAAAATTTTGTTTTCAATGCAAAACTTGATTTACCGAATTCCACTCGGGAAATGGTTTAATTTATATGTGAAATGGTATTATTTATGTGCAAAATAAAATTTTGTTTTCAATGCAAAACTTGATTTACTGAATTCCACTCGGGAAATGGTTTAATTTATATGTGAAATGGTATTATTTATGTGCAAAATAAAATTTTGTTTTCAATGCAAAACTTGATTTACCGAATTTCACTCGGGAAATGGTTTAATTTATATGTGAAATGGTATTATATTATTTATGTGCAAAATAAATTTTTGTTTTCAATGCAAAACTTGATTTACCGAATTCCACTTGGGAAATGGTTTAATTTATTTGTAAAATGGTATTATTTATGTGCAAAATAAATTTACCGAATTCTACTCGGGAAAAAATTTAATTTATGTGCAAAACTTGATTTACCGAATTCCACTCGGGAAAAGGTTTAATTTATATGCAAAACTTGATTTACCGAATTCCACTCAGGCAATGGTTTAATTTATATGCAAAACTTGATTTATCGAATTCCACTCTGGAAAAGGTTTAATTTATATGCAAAACTTGATTTACCGAATTCTACTCGGGAAATGGTTTAATTTATGCAAAACTTGATTTACCGAATTCCACTCGGGAAATGGTTTAATGTACGCTATTACTTTACATTTCAAAGTGGTTTGCTCTCCTATACAAAATTAAATTTTTATATGCAAAACTTGATGTACCAAATACTTTATATTTTAAAGCGACAACTCTATATACAAAATTTTAGCTTAATATTTTGATGTACCAAATACTTTATACTTGATTTTCAAAATTTCACTCGAGAAATGGTTACTTCATATCATTGTTTTAAAACAGGGTTGTTTTTTAGCTGGAGCATCGGATGGGAATTGGTCAGGACCGAATAGGCTTTGGAATGGTTTGGGTCCTAACCTGGTTCCCCCATAAAATCTCTTTTTATTTATTTTTTATTTTTATAATTTTATTTAATATTTTTTTAAGTCCCCACTATATTCCTATCCTACAAACCCCTATTTTAATTTTATTTTATTTCATTGATTTTTTAACATTTTTTAGATCATTAATGGGAACGATCGGGGTATCAAAACATAGCTTCGTACTTTAAAATGGTTTAGCTTAGCATAGAAATTTTATTTTATAAGAGAAATTTGGTTTAAAATTTTCACTCAAGAAATGTGTTCTAAGAGATTAGTTTTTATTTCCAGGACTTTTTGTCCAAATCCTTGATATTTCAGTTTTATTCCGAATCATTTGTTGAAGATATTGCTTTTATATATATATATATAATCATGTGATTCACCCATTTAGTTCCAAGATTTTCTCCTCATATTGCACTTCCAAATTTTTATTAAAATATTACTTTTTATTATAGGTCCAAACAGTGTATACTCCAATGAGAGCACAATGTACATTTACTCCCTTGCGTACTCACAGGGAGAGGCTTTACTTATTTTGATAGGGTTCTAGCCTTATCAAACCATTTTCCTTAAAATATTGGTGTAATGGCAAATAACTAACATGTTTGTTGCATTATCACAGACTTATCTCGAACCTTCAGGTACCCATTTGTATACGCATACAAATTCATGTGGACCATTTACCATATCATTTATATATGGAAAAAGTTTATATAAGGCTGCAACCTTAAAATGTAGATGTGCCTCAAAAATCCATCATAAAATGTTATTTTAATGCTGGAATAACCTCTAATTGGTCATCTCGATATCGAGATATATGCTTATAGAAAAAAATTTATTTTGAGTCTAAAAAATAATACATCTTGCAATACATTATCTAGACCGTCCATTTTCAAGATTTTCATATGTTTATAGATCTACTTGATTTTAACCTTTTTTTGGAGTTTTTAAATTTTATAATGAGATATAAAAATAGATTTTGAGATAATCCTAATAATTTTTCTTACTAATTACATGTTATGGTACAAGTTGGAGGTGCGCCATAATTGGATTGTTGTTTAGGTTGGTACCTTATAATATACTTATAATATATGCACTTGGACACAGGTACATTTGTATAAA